CCCCCCCCCCCCCCCTTCTTTTTGTGCCGCAGACCATGGCCGATCGATTGTCTAACAGTATCTCTAGCTGCTCAACAGGCTATTCCCAACTCTCAACAGTTTAGTCGATTCGGTCAGGCCGGTCCCCACGAGCTGTCGGCTACTCAGCAGAAGCCTCTGGACCCCTTCAACCAGGGAGCCACTCCCGCATCTCAACCGCCGTTCGATAACTTTGCGGCTCAGACATCCCAGCCTCCCGCACAGCAGCCCGGTGCCGCTTTCAGCTCCGCGCCCAGCGACTACTCAGCCTATTACACCGCAAACCAGCAGGACCGAAACCCGTACGCCTTCTACGGCCAGCACTTCGGTCAGCAGGGAGCGCATGCCCAGCCGGAGGGCGTCCCCTCGCAGCAGAGGGGCTTTGGAGGCTACAACGCCTCTCAGAGCGATAACCTCAGCCAGTATCCCCAGAGCGGCACCGGCCACAACCAGCCCCGATTCGGTGGCAGCAATGACAACCAGAACAGCGGCCACTCCACCCCCAACCCCGTCACCCAGGCCCAGCAGCAACAGCCTCAGCAGCAGGGAGGCCCCGGCTCGCAGCCTCAGGCCCATGGGCAATACCCCGGATACAACCACCCGTACTACAGCAACCCGTACTACCATCAGTACTACTCGGGCTACGGCCAGGGAGGATTCGGTCCGTACGGCAAGGGCGCCATCTACGGCCAGCCCTACGGCGTCTCTCCCAACGCCCCGTATGACCACACGTCGTCTCCTGGAACTTTTGGACCGTCGTCCCTCCACCGGGAGAGCCCTCTTGGCTCCGGTCTTGGCGACTACGGCCGCGCCGGCTCAGGCCAGGCTGCCAGCCAGCCCGGCCTGGGAGGAAGCAGCTTCGGCGGCATGAACGACAGCTTCTCTCGCGGCGCCTCCTCCTTCCAGTCCCAGGGACAGTCCTTCAGCAGCCAGACGCAGCCCAGCGCCGGATCTTCCGCTGACGACCTGAAGCCCTTCGGCGAGAGCAAGACCGCTTCCGGCCCCTCGCCCTCTCTGGGCGCGCCCCGGCCCGGCTCAGCCACCAACACTGCTCCCGGCGGACAGAGTGGCAGCCTGCCGCCTCCCCAGACGTCCCAGATGGGCGGCGGCTATGGTGGCTACCCTAGCCACCTCCAGGGCCACGGCCTCCACGGAAGCGGCGGCTACGGCATGGGCGCCGGCGCCGGCGGCAACCAGCACAGCACCCCCTATGGCTCGTACGGCCAGGGCGGGTTCGGCAGCGGAGGCTACTACAGCACCGGTCAGCAACAGCAGCAAGGCCAACAGCAGCAGCAACGCGGCGGCTGGGGCGGAAACTACCATTAGTGGGGTAGAAACCGTGAAGGAAAACGACGAGGGCGATA